CTGTGATCAACAGATACAGCAGGGAGGTGCAGCATTTTTTCATTCTTTCATCAACTATCTACCGAGTCTTTCCTGTGTGCCAAGCACTGTACAGGTTTCCAAGGAAGTATCTGTTCATTCCAGACAGTCGTGCTGGAGGGTCTCCTATGCATCTGGCTTCTTCGTGGCCACAGTGCAGTTCCCTGATTCATGCTACTCAGCTGTGGAATACTAAAGACTTAATACAGTTTGTTCAATTTATTTAACCCACATTCAGCATTGTTGTTGTATATAGTCAACATATGTATAGTTACACTCTTTGTTCACTCTTCCTTCTGGCATCTCAGACCTGTTTTCTGGAATGATTTTTTATCTCCCAAAATTACATGCTTCAGCTGTTTTTTAGTGTGGGTCTCTTGGCCATAAGCATTCTTTGTATTTTTAATCTAAAAACATCCTCATTCTCATCCTTGACAGGTGGTCTTGCTAACCTTTGTCACTTCACATTAACAGTCATTGATTTCCTCTCTGTACCAGGTAACAGTGTCACTTGACCTGCAGCAGTCAGTCTCCACAGTGACTCTTGGGCCCTTCATTGTTTCAGAACCACAAATTTGGGAAGAGTTAGGAAATGCAAACACACAGGTCAAGTTGGCTGCTTGGGAACATCAGATAAAGTGTACAGACAGTCGATCCCTTCAGCACTGACGAGAAGGAAGGACTTGTGTGCTGAGCGCAAAATCCACTGGATTGGAGCAGAGGCGGGGAAAGCATCAGAACTGTTTGCCTTACTCTCTAGAACATGACCTCTTGACTTGACTTTGCCCTTGCAGAAAAGCAAAATCCATGTGGTGGTAATGGAGGTGAGTTACTAGGCGTCAGAGAGAAAAGGAGGTAGACTTTACTTTGTCTTCTCCCAGAAGTCACCAAATTATCCTCCTCATGTCTTTATTTTTTACTCTGCTTCATTTCAGCTCAGTTTCTCCTAAACTTTTATTCTCTTTGGCACTTCCCATTTTGAAAATGGTGACGTTTCATCTTTAATTCACAAAACCTTTGACAATGCTGTAGTCTCACACGGAAGCCTTTGGACCACTCCTTGCCCCTTTGGAAGGCATCACTGGGGTTCCCCCGAGGTCGGTCAGGGAGCAGGTTGGTGTTGTCAGCATAGTGCCTTTGGTGGGCCCAGGAGTTTGAGGAAGACTTGCTGTTTTGGTAAACGGAATAATGAAAAACACAAATGGAGTTCCTTTCTATGTTTATCATCAAATAACCAAAAGTCTGGGACCTCAAGACTCTAATCTCTGCTAAGTCCGGCTCTCACCAGGTAAAGAAGGAAGCCGACTTGCCTTGAGTTTGAGCCTACCCCGTTCAGGCACAATAGCCACTTCTCAGCTTTCCCCTTCCTAGTTTGTTTGAAAAACCAAGCCTGGTTTTCACACAAAATGACCAGGTCACACGTGGAAGCTGTGTCTGCTGCAACCAGGGCTGTTGCTGATGCTTCCCAGCTGCGGGCTGTGGCGGCGCCTCGCTGCTTGCACTGCTGCCCTGCAGTGTACAGCACCAGCTGCTGGGACCTGCCTGTAAGTGTGTTCTTGGAGAGGCGAGCCCCACCAATGGAGGCACAGGACAGCTGGCAGCCGTGCCCCTGCTGGCAAAGTAGGTTGTTGCAGTGGGCAGGAGGCTGAGGGTTCTGCACGTCATCCCTGGCCCTGTTCATCCAGTGCCCACTGCATAGATGATGGTTAATAAATATTTGTTGATAGGCTGTAGGATAAGTTGCAGCATTTATTTTGGCTAAAAAATTAGGAACAGTCTTAATATCCATCAATGTAGAATTAGATATCCATAGAGAAATTCTATGCAGCCATTAAAAAGAAACAGATCTCTCTGGTAAGTTACATAGTAGGAGAAACAAGTTGTAGAATAGTAATTCCATTCAGAGAAAAGAAAAATCTGAGAGTAAAACTGAAAACAGAATAGAGGAAGTCTAGCAGTATGTACACCATATAAAAGTGGTTATTTCTGAGAGGTGACTATGCTTGTTACCACTCTTTGTCATCTATTTATGTGAGAATTCTTTTACAAATTTAAGTTTGAAATCAGAAAAAAAAATTCTTTTAGAAGTAGATTTCAGAGAAATCTAAATAATTAAGTTAGGATTCTAAGACTAGAATTTATGAAAACGCTTAAAGAACACAAGGCTGACAGAAAGAACCTTCTGAAAGTTCGTTATGAGACAGTACTTGCTTTTACCCACTGCCCTTTCAGTCAGCCTGGGAGCTAAAGGGGAAGGGAGCTGCCCGGTGTCCTGTGTCTACGTGCAGCTCCCCTAGAAACCTTTGCAAAATATATACTAGTTGCCTTTGCAAGACACCCACTAGTCTTAACATGTTATTGGTTTTAGATCATTTTAAAGAACATCAAACACCTGTCAAAATTTGCTCTGTAATCACTATGCTCTTGTAATAAACTCTTGCTACTGGAAAAAGAAAACAAATGAAAAACAAAACCCAGCAACATCTATTGATTTGGCGGTCGCATTAGTGCAGTACATTTTCTCCATGATTTGAGCTATGGGTAGTTTTTCCTTCTTTCTAGCATATCCATGCATCTCTGAAAGAGAGTCAAGTGGCTATGGACTGAGACTCACCCAACTCGGGCAGTAAAGAGAAAAATTAGTCTAATGCATGGTCTTAACAAGAGGGAGAGTGTGTGCATGAATAATTAATCTGACTAGTCTGTGGCAATCGTATAAAATGAAGTCCCATTTGCTCAACCTTATTAAAAGAGAGAGAGTGCGTGAGAGGGAGGGAGGGAGAAATGGTAAAGGTCGTTAAGGGACCTGTACCGTAGGGTGAATCGCCTTTGAGATGGGTAATGTGTTTTCTGATCTCTGTGGTCTTTAACTAAACGTAATGGTAAAGGTGCTCTTTGGATAGTTCTGATTCATTGAATTATTAAACATTTTAGAAAATACTTGACTGTTCACTGCTACCTTAGATATCTTTATGATGAATTTGCATTGTCTTTTTGGAGAGGGGTTAGATCTTATTGTATCACTCAGAAATGATCCATGCTATTAGCAACAAAGAGCCTGCAGAAAAAGTCAAGACATTAAAAGATTGAATGTGAGGTTTTAATTCTTATATTTACCTTGAACATTTTACATTTTAAAGTTCTTCCTTCCATCTGTAGAAGTTGAAGCATTTTAAAAACAAGATGATTTGGAGTCCAAGAACCCTCTTGAAAGCTCTATATTCACATAAGTACGAAGTATTAAATTTAAAATCGACTGTGAGGTAGTGGTTTTGGTTTTTTTTTCCCCTCACTTTCCAGCAGCTGATTTTTTTGCAATGTTTAGGTTATTTTCTGTAAATAGAAGATTTGATTGTTTTTGTGTTCTTACTTAGAATAATCTTATTTTGGTTATTTAAATTAGAACTGCTAAACTTTTCTGTCATACTTATTTTCAACTACATGAAAATAAAAAGATTAAACTTAGTTTTTATGGATTGTGAAATATTTTGAATTTTGAAATTGATTTCTTCGAGCTATTGTTAACAGCAGTAACTTATTACAGTGTTGTTTAAGAATTTAGGAATTTTCAAAGATTAACATCAGTGACTCAAGGTGGAGATATTTTATTAACTCCCCAATACTAAAATAATCTGTATATTGTTAACAAGAAAAAGAGAACACATAATTTTAATGTGTGTGCAAATCTCTCTACAAAATGTTAATATCAAAACTTTGAAGTCCAAATTTGTTCTAATGTATGTGATCAACAGAATAGAACGTACACTGGGAAGTATGTGTGTGTATAAAATTAAGAGGCTTTTGAACTGAATTTTGGGGCAAGGATTGTTTCAGTACTTATAAAAGTGGCTGACCTACAATAAACATTGATAGGTGGAGTTGATTTACTAAGGTTTCTTTAGTTAAAGACATGCATAGGGGCCCTCCCTGATGGTGAGCATGTTGGAGCCCTGTACTTCGAAGTTAAGCCAAGCCAGGGCCCCTTTAGTGTGAGTTCAAGCCCAACCCCAGAGGTGACCCACATGGCGCAGCAGACCTCTCCTGTCTCACCCAGTGCTCCCATCAGCAGTGTACTTTGTCAAGCTGCCTGTTCTGCTCCCCACTCTGTTTCTGGTGAATCTTCTAACCGCCCCTGCACCTCTGGCCTGTACCCCATTTCTGTATGCATAAACAAGTAAAATCTTTTTAAAAAACAAACAAACAAACAAAAAAAGATGTATGTAGACTTCAGAAAGATTTTTTTTTTTAAAGATTCATTTATGCATATAGAGCTGGGGTACAGGCCAGGCCAGATGTGCAGGGGCAGTGAAAGGATTCACCAGAGACAGAGTGGGGAGCAGAACAGGCAGACTGACAAAGTACACTGCTGAGGGGAGCAGCAAGTGGGCCAGGAGAGGCCTGCTGTGCTATGTGGGTCAGCTCCGGGCAGGGAGCAAATTCATGCTGAGGTGGCTTTAGCTTCTTAGTGCTGTGCTTTAACCCGCTGTGCCACCAGGGAGAGCCCACAGAAGGATTTTAAAATCATCTTCCCCTTACTCCTGTAGAAAAGGCACAGAAGTTATCAAGATAGAGTAAATACATTGTCTAGAGATCAAGCGTACCTTCTTACTTACTTGCCTCCATGCCTTACAGAACAAAGCTTCCTAAAATTAGCAAATGGGGAGTCATTGAAGAGAGAACTGTTTGGAAATAAGATTTTGTGTTTTGATTTGTAGTCTCCCTAATTTCTGAATCATGGTTAACTATGACAGCTTCTTTTCCTGGAAGAATTCCTGTTGAACTCTTTCTCTCCTCTGGTTTAAATACTGGGAAGGGAAAGAAAGAGCCCAAACCGGCTCGTCTGCAAGTCTCCCGAGTCTCCTGTTCACTTCCTCATTAACACCAGATCAGAATCCACTTGACCCATAGTTACTTTCCAGACCACTTTTTCTTTTAAAAAATCCTGCCATATGTAACCCAATGCCATGTTTCCTCCTCCCCAGATCCTGGTGTATAGCCTGGAAGCAGAACGTTGCCTCTCAAAGCTGGGGAATGCTCTTGGGGACTTCACCTGCGTCAACCTCAGAGACAGCCCCCCCAATCTCATGGTCAGTGGCAACATGGACAGAAGGTATGTCCGACTAAAAACCAGCCTTTCGTAGTCACAAGCAGCGGATGTTGGGTCTTTACTCTTCAGCTTCCATTGTGCTCACCGATTTCCTCTATTGCTCACACTCCTCAGTTCTTCTCAGCTTAGCCCACCTGAGGTCAGCCCTGATCTAAATACTGTCTCTATGAACTTGTGCTAGGTTATAGTTGGGTAGAGCTGATGTCTCTGCCTTATTTCTGAAACACCATGTATGGCCTTTTAAGCCATTTGGTGGACACAGTTGGTGGAAGGTCCAGTGAGACCACTTGGAATATCTTTTGTCCCCCTGCTGCAAAATTTGCTTGGCATTTAAAAGCTCACTTTCTAATATTAAAAACAATAACCTAAGGGATAAATCATGTACAACAAAATAGGGTTGCCTGCCAAATGATATTGAGAGTGTATTTCAGAACTCTGAAATCCCTCTGGTGATGGGGAAAAAAGAGACTTCGTGTGAACCAGTTCCAGTTTCTATTTAGCTGATTAGCAGTCTTCTCTTTAACGCATTGGCTTAGGGAGTCGGATTTTCCCGTCACAAGTCCAGTGCCAGTCACGGACACTCCAGGAAACAACAGCACGAAAGAATTAGTGTTTGAAAAAACTCTGAGTCCAGATTTTAGGGTTTTTCGCTCCCCATCCATGGTTCCTTGTCTTTTCTTTGCCTTTTCTTCTTCTTTTGGCTGGTTACCTGCCATGTCTGATCCTGTACCCCAAAGAAAGGAGGCAGGGCTGAGGCCGGGATCTGCAGCTCCCCTCCCCCGGCCCAGCAGCCCTGGGCTGCAGGTGGTGGGCCTCTCCATGGGGTATCAGGTCATGAAGTGGGTGTGCCATGTGCCAAATCCCAGATTTCTGTCACACCAATGTAGCAACTTACAAAAATAATTTTGTGAAATAATATTTTCAATTCCTAACCTTCATCCCTCCCTTATGGCAAAAAGATAATGTGAGTATGGTTATTGAAAGAAAATGCCCCCTTATTTCTTCCTAAGTCCTCCTAAAATGGCTGATGGCTCCTCAGTGTGTGTCTAGGCAGTTTCTCTCTTAAAACAAGGTGTAATGGCTGGACCCACATGTGGCACAGTCATGACACAACCCATTTGTAGTTTTAATCTCACGTCTTAGTTTCCAGACTGAGCTACACAAAGGTCCTTAGCTTATCTGATAGGTGCTCCCCACAGGCACCCAATATCTACTGCATTTCCAGGAGAGCAAATGCTCTTTGGGCGCCCAAATGGCAGGGTTCGGATTGGAATGTTCGCAGCCTGAGATTCAGGTGTTCAGCCACTAGGCTCATGGAAACCAAAATGGTGCTCCTGAGAAGACCTTTGTTTCCTGCTTAGCTTAGACCAGCGAGCTCTAGAATATAATTGAAACCAGACTCACAGCCATGTCCAGCTGCACATCAGACCCTCAGAGTCTGTCTGTACTTACACTTAGTAAAGCTTACTTTTTCCTCCAGGGAGGGCTGCCCTATTGGGTAGCTATTGCCAGAATAGGAGCCACCACTCACGTGAAAGGGCCCCCTGATGATTGTGAAGTCCACAGTTGACCAGGTTAAGTTCCATTTTATTAGTAAAGCAATGTTAGGTGGTTTTTATCTGTTCTTTTTAACCCTCTGCCTCTGTAGAGGAACAGAAAAGACTAGTGACTTGAGTTGGGGAGGGAGCTATCCCAGGTGGCACTGAGCCAGAGTCAGGCCTAGTTCTCTGTGCCAGCTGTTTGACCACTGCCAGCACCATCAGGGACTCTGGCTATCACAAAGGGTGCACTGTAGGATTCAGATTAACAGTGATAGCAGAATATGAAACACAGGGGTTTAAAAAAAGTGCACATCTGGAAAAAGGAAGGAACAAGCACTCTGGACTTTTAAATATAATAGAGGGAAAGAAAACTTGTGGTTTTGTTTTGTTTTGTTTTTGTTTACCCAAAGGCTTCATAGCGTAAGTGAATCTCATTAAAGACACACACACTTTGCTTGTACAGCTTATATTTTACCTCGTAAGTGGGACCAATGGGTCAAATACTATGAGGAAACTTTACCCTGGCTGTTCACTTAATGGCCAATAAAATTTTTTAAAACTTGGAATCCCCTTTTTTAATTTAAAAAACAATTTCCTCTGAACTTTCTTAATCCTTTATAAAGAACTTGAGAATGAAGTGGACTCTACAGATACATAAAACTGTCTAATGTTAAGACAAAAACAAATCTTTCATTAGAGAAAGAAATCAGCATGAATTAGCTTATAAAACATGGATGGGATTTTGCAAGGAGTATTTTTGGCAGGGGGGGGGGGGGGGCAGAAAAAAACAAAGAAAAACAACATCCCCAGCCTGTCACATCTTCCAGAAAGAAAGAGAGGCTAACTTACATCATGAGAGAAAGGTTAGTGTAGAAATTGAGATGTGTTTGTGCCTTTGCTCGGAGCAAAGAAGGGTTTGAAAGTAGAGAGAGAAGAGTAGGTGGGGCTTTGTAGAAGAATTTCAGCACTGTAAATCAATGAGTTTTTCTGAATGCACATTTGGTCCTTGGTGGAACCAAAGCAAATAGGGCGACTCCAGAGGGATGCGCATTAGGTGTGAGCTAGCGTCTTCGTAAGGAGACACTGTAGGACTCTAAGATGCTTTTTTAAAAACATTTTCACATCCGGCCCTCCCTGGCGGTGCAGCGGGTTAAAGCACAGCACTGAGAAGCTAAAGCCACTTCCGCATGAGTTCGATTCCCGCCTGCCCTGGAGG